TTTTTTTTTTTTGAATTTGTACATATAAGAACATATACTCACCTTACTAGAGTCATAAAATGGGATTTCACTAGATTGCTGCATATGATCATCAAACAAGCCATAATTAGTACTAAACCCATCTCTCAAAATCCCGATTTGATTCTGCGAAGGCCCTCCGAAGTTCCCACTAAAGCTCGACGAAGTCAGGAGATCGAGCGCCTCAAGATTCATGTCCAAACCGCCGGCGTTTGTTAGTCCCATTTGATTCAAACTCGAAACACTTACGCTCGGGAAAATCTGGCCGAACCCCTTCTGCTCGTTGTTTCCGGTTAGCAAGTCAGTGTACTTACGATAGTAATGGTCCGAAAACTCTTCCTTAATCCTTGGAGGCTGTAAATAATCTTGCACTGGCTGATTAGTGCCAAATTTGGCCCAATTATGATAGCCTAAGCTTGGGACTATAGTGGAATTGTATTGTGATAAGAGTAGAGTGTTGTTGTCTTGATGGTGCCTAGGTTCAGTACTTGGGTATAAAGTGAAGCCATTGTTTGTGTCCCTGCAAAAATGTATATTAAATAATATATATTTATCTTAAATAAATTTCAAACCCTAGGTTTTCATGGTGCTCAAAGAGAAGGGCAACAAAAAAGTTTTGTTTTTCTTTTTTTTTTCCAAAATATTGCTCTTTTAAATAAATTTTTGTACTTTCTTGATTTATGAAATGGATTAAGGAGATAATTAATAAATGAAAAGCTAATATTCACAACAACAAATAGAGCATACAAAAATTGTCAATTCTTGCTTTGCCTAGCTTTTTTCTTGAACCAAAAAAAAAAAAATAATAATAAAATTATTTTTTCTTTGGTTATCTAAAGCATGAAAAGTTGTGGGGAGAGAGAGAGAGAGAGGACTTACAAGAAGGAAGTGGGAGTAGTACCCCAAGCATTAGTAGTGGTACCCCCTCCATAGTAGTTAGAAGGGGTAGCTAAAGAAGAAGAAGAGGAGCCAACAATAACTTGATCTTGGAGCTGATGATGATGGTTTTTTGCAGACTCCATAATGAAAATGATTATTACTATTATTATTCTTTTTGTTT